TCCAGCAATACAACATTTTTCTACAGTTACCATGAAGAGGATTTCTTATCTTTTCCTTAACATTTTGGCATTTATGTTCAATGTAGGTTTTGTTTTGTTTTTTTATTTAAAAAAATTTTTGTTACTGTTTTTTTATATATACTGTTTTGTTGTCGTTTTTTGGTGGGGTAAGTAGGAATAAAAGGAGCTCTGGTAGTGTAGTAGTTACAAGTCAGGCTGCTAATCTCAAGGTCAGCAGTTTGAAACTACCAGTCATTCTGCAGGAGACAGATGAGGCTTTCTGTTCCCATAAAGATTTACAGCCTCAGACCCCTATTCAGGGTCGCTATGAGTCGGAACCGACTCCACAGCACATAACCACCAAGTAGGAGTAAAGAGTGAGGGTTAGGGTTAGGACCATGACTAGGTCTAAACTAGATCTATGGATAGGTCTAGGTTATGGTTAGACTAGGATTAGTGTTAGGAGGAAGTGTTGGGTGATGAGTAGGAGTAAGGCTTGGTCTAATTTTTAGGGTTACAGTCAGTTTTTGAAATTTATTTAATTTTATTATTGAAATCCACTTGATTTCTTCATTTGGAAGTTCTGTACATTATTCCCTCCTTTACTGTATGCTTTTGTTGTTGTTGCAACTGTATCTCTGGTTCTCTTTTTCAGTTGTATAGGTCTGTTTTTCTTTGAATATTTCCATATATGGGTTAATGTAGTCTGTTACTGCTTTTGTTGTTGTTGCTTTTTAATCATTTAATATGTCTAAGCCTTGTTTTAATTCAAATAGATGGTCATTGTCTTAAAGATTGGGACCACATCCCACAGTGTATTGGGCTAGAATTAAATGCTTAATATTGGATTGAATTGAAATTTGAGCTGGACCCTAAAACTTTAAATGAATTAACGCCTTAATCCCCATTCCCAAATATAGTCGATAAGCATATATTAAATACCTGCTACATTCTAGGAGTCCTAGTGTGGCACTGTGGAATAAGCATTGGACCAAAAGGTTGGTGGCTCAAACCCACAAGCCACTCCTCGGAAACCCTATAAAGGGTCGCTATGAGTTGGAACTGACTCTATAGACTTAACAACAGCTACATTCTTAGGCCCTGTGCTAGGAGCGGAGGGGACGTCTTCCAACCTGAATGCCTCATATTTTTGGGTATTTTTCTCCCCAGAAACCCTCTAAATAGTCCCACCTGTTTACCGCATTATCCTGTGCCCAAGATCTCTCAATTAATATTGCATAGATATCGTTCCATTTTTCACTGACTGTATCTCACTGGTTCACCCAGACTTCTATCTTTGTGTTTGTATGTATTGTTTCTATGTGTTTGTATATATGCATACTCACTGTGGGCCTTAGCCTAATGGGCGATGCTACCTATCCTGATCCCAGTCCAGTGAGACCAACCTAGAAGTGACAAGCCCCCACCTCTCTCTTCCCCCAATCTGGAAACCAGGATGTGGACGGAGGAAGTGCCTACTCAGATAAAACTATCTAAGAATGCCTATGTCACCCAGGCCACCCACTTTCCTGGGAATTTCACAAATGTCTTTTGTCCCAGTCCCACCACGCAGGGAAGAATCTTAGCAGGCACCACTAAGGTGGGAGCTAAGTAGTACTGTTTGAGGTGGATCCGTTCGTCCTCCACAGTGGCATTCCCAGAATCAAAGGGTCTTTATGGAGGGTGGTGGAGATGGAGTAATTTTGCTGTTTGAAGGGATGTCCAGGACCCTCTGAGGAAAGTTGGGACATTAGCAATCCAGTGCCTGTGGGGTAGAAAGGCTATATGGAGTTGGGGCAGCTGGTTACTTTCTCTCTTGCTTTTAGGCCTCTAGTTGCTCTTCTTTCTGTGTGAGTTTCTGAGTCACTTTGTCCCAGTCTCGCATCTCTCTTGGCTTCAGTCCCTCTCATCTGTCCCTCTCCATCAAGCAACAATGGCCTGTCCACCAACCCCCCTGACTTCCTGGCTCCTTAGCTCCTGGTCTGGTGGCCCAAGTTCATTGACTTTGAAAACATTGTTGTTAGTTGAAACACTGCCTGGTCCTGCACCATTCTCACAATTGTTGTTACACTTGAGTCCATTGCTGCTGCCATTGTGCCAATCCATCTCCTTGGGGGTCTTCCTCTTCCTCCTGATACCTTTCTTTCTCTTGCCAAGACTCAAATCCTCAGCTGCATGCTTTAGGCCTCCTTTGGAAGCATGATGAACTATAGGAAGCAGAAGTGAGAAATAAGGGTTGAGGTTAAAAACACACACACACACAAAAAAACCAGTGGAAAGGAAAAACAAAGGGTTGAGGTGAAGCAGGATGAGAGGGAAAACTCCCCGAGGATCAGGGTTGCCAAAGCTATGCCGGGAGGTGAAAGGAGAATCTTGCCCAACCCAGCCTAGCAGAGCTCTTTCCTTCCTTCCCTAAGTTCCTGTATCTCTTCTTTCCTTTTTTCCCCAGGGTCTCTCCTTGTTAATTCATATGACCCCTTCCCCTCTCACCCTGTCCCTGCTTCTCTGTATGTTTCTTCTTCTGTCCAGGTCTAAGCAACAGTGGATGGATCTCTCACCATCTCTCACCAGTCTCTGATCTGCAGTTCGCCCTCCCAGCTTGGCTCTTAATGGGCGGTGCTCTTAGCACCACTCCCCCGAGCTGTACTATTGGCGCGAAGGTGTTGAAAAGGCGGTGTCTAGCCCCCTTCCATGGTGGGATTTGTCACAGGGACTGGGAGGCGGGCAGGAGGTGGGTCCGGCCGAGAGGCGGGCGGGGCGGCTAGGGCCCGGCCCAGAGCTCCGGGCGGTCGCATTGTTTTCCTCCGCGGAGCCGCGGCGGGAGTAGGGGCTGCGACTGGGACCCTGGGCTCGCCCTAGTGGACCGTGCTGGGAGCCTAGATCCAAGCTCCATCCGATTAGGACGCTCCTTGCATCTTGCCATAACCCCAACCACGGATTGTGAACTCGGAGCGGAGCGGGGCCACTGCAAGCCAGCTGCGATCTCGATCCCGCTGACCCTGATCTCAGAGCAAGTACCCCAGGACAGGGTTGGGGCTGCAGGGAGGCGAGGAGGGACACGGGCCGCTGCAGCCCGGGAACAACCCTTCCGAAGTACACGAGGGACCAGTTAGGGTGTCGGCGCGCTGTGCGCCTGACTGGCAGAATGGGTCGGCGGAGTTGGGTTTGATGAAGGGAGATGGGGACCGTGGCCGAGCCCAGCACCGCACTGTTGGGCTCAGTCAGTTGCCTGTTCGGACTGGGCTTTCTCTGAGTCGCATCCCGATTCTGGAGCGTGAAAGAGGATTCTTTGAGGTACGCACAGTACAGAGGTGGACAACCTGGCCCCTTTCCTCCGTGGCAGGAAAACTAAGGCTACGAGACCGGCCGAAAACCGGACCCTCTCGATGCCTCTGCAGGAATGGGAAGGGGGGACGTCTCGTTCCTGATTCTGGTGTCACGGCAGCTCAGCTGTCCTTGTGCAAGCGGGAATCTGAGCAATCCTCGGGGGGTTGGCTTTGGCACAGAGTCAGGGAACAGGGTCCCCAAGAAACATCGGTCCCAGCACCATCCTTCCTTCACCTCTCTCGGCCCGGGGCTTTGTTAGACTGGGTCCTCCAAGGAGGAAAGCCAAGCTAGCGACCACATCCCGAGTCCGCTGACCCTGCTCAGCTTTGGCCCCTGGCCCGCCCTCATCTGTTCCCAGCCTCTGGCCCTGTTTCTCTGGCCTCAGAGACCCGCCTCCGCTCTCCCACCCCCGCCCCCATCCCCTCTCTGTCTGAGCCTGCAGGCCCCTTCAGCCCCTCCTCCCGCTAACGTGGCTCTGGGACCCGGTCCCGGCCCAGACTGCTATCCGCCCCTCCTCCGAGCCTCGGATCCAGTGAGGGGGAGACGTATCGAGCCCCTGGCCCCTGGCCCACCTCATGCTAGGCTCTAGACACCTGGATTATCCTCGCTGAGGGCTTGGGTGGGAGGGAAGGTAGGTGCCAAGTCTGGGGCCGAAAGCTAGGGGTGGAGGAAATGTCTTCGAGAAGGGACCACACTGAGGCCCCTCGGCACCCCTTTCACCCCCCAGGAAGGTGAACTGGGGCGGACAGGCGACAAGCCCAAGGGCTTCCTGCTATTGTCCCCAGCCCAGACTCCTTCTCCATCCCTTCCCCAGCCCCTGCCAGACTCTGACTATGACCCTGGCCACTCCCAAGAGGTGGCTGCGGGGGACCTGGAGGAGAGAGAAGGAAGGGCTGTTTCCTCTTCCCAGCTAGCGGGAGAACCTAGAAGAGGGAGAGAGATGGCCTGGTCTCTCTCATTTGCTTTAAATTGGGAATATGAAGACGCTGGGTTGGGGCCCAGGGCAAAGTAAGCCTTTCTCCAACTAGGGGTGGGGTGGGACACCCAGATGCTGCTCCTTAATAACAGCTATGGTAAGCCCTTCTAGGATATATCATAGTTGAGTCTAGGGGGCTGTGCAAAGGCTAACCCCCTGTTTTTAGAGGCTGGACTAATCCAGCCTAAGGTGGGGTGTTAAAGGAATCTGGGTCTGAGGGAAGCTGGGTGGCTTTCTAGAAGGTAGGGGCTGTGGGTATAGCTATCAGAGCATTTTGCTTTGAAATGAAGAGTATGTAAATGAAATGCAAATTAGTCTCTATTGTCCCTAGCTAGGGCGCTTTTCCTAAGAAGGCTGCTGGATTCTGAAGGTTTTAATGTGGGAGTGGTAGGTGTACTCCTGTAAACTCTCCCAATCACCCCGTTCCCTAAGGCTGGTTCTACAATTCTAGGGGTTTGGGCTAGGGATCATCCCTGGTTCCTGCCTGCATATCCCACAAGACCAGTTTTGTAACCAAGTTCAATGTCAAGGGCCCCCCAACTTACAGGGAAGCATCTCCCCAACCCCTAGAATCAGCAGACTTTCCCTAAATTTTCATATTTACTTTCAAGGGAAGTGGCAAATGTGGTATAACTGTCTCATCCCTCCTCCTGTCCCTTTTCTACCAGGTCAGAGGTTTCCCATTCCCCTTTAGGCCCCCACAGGAGTTACCATCCCAGGTAAGGAAAGGGCAACAGTTGCTGAGGGCAGGGGATGGAAGCCGACTTGGCCAGGGAGCAGGAAGAGGGAACAGTTGTTTCCAAGGTGAAGATACCAGTTGCCCAGGGCAACTTGGGGGGGCAGGAGGGGGAGGCTAGGAGACAAGCTGTGTCCCTTTTTCTTCTCTTGGGAGCACCAGCATCCGGAAACATGGTGGGGAGGAGAGGGAGGGAGGCTTGGCCTCTCAACACCAGAGGGTCGTTAGCTGGCTGGCTGCTTTGCCCTGGGGAGGGGGGTCATCATTAGGTGTTCCAACCCCTTCCTCTCCTCCAGCTCTCCTGGGGCTCCACCTGACGTCAGCCTCCCCACCAGTGACGCTGGATTGAGGGGGGGGGGCACTTGGGTTCCAGCTCCAAGAGTGGAATTGTTGGTAGACTGGGCATGGAACCCTAGGGTCTTTCCTCTAGGAGATACAATAAGATGGGTAATAGAACTGGTGTAGGATAGCTGTTCACAGAAAGAAATGTTTCTCACCCTTCCTGACCTGATTTCCGGAGCCTACTCACTTCAGTTTCAGGGGAAGGCAGGAAGCTAGTAGACACCTCCCATTGTGGGATGCAGCCAGGGTCAGCTGGCTGTGGGAAGCTGATGTGAGGGAAGGAGACTTGTCTCACCATCCCTTCCAATGTATTCATCTTTTCCCGGACTTTGGGCTACAATTGCCTGCCTGTCACTGAATTATTTATATTTCAATTGCAGAGGCAGCCCGATGAGAGAAGGAAGGGAAAGAGGGGCATGTTCAGCCATTTCCCCTCCCCAGTACAGCACCTTCTATTCCTGGCTCTTTCTAGGGGATGAGTCCGCTCCTCTCCTCACCAAGTACACTTATTAGTTCTTAGGAGGCAGGGAGCAAGCAGGGGGCTAGAGAGGCTGGGAGGGGGCACAGTGGTCGGAAAGACAGCTGCAATCAAAGCTAAATTTAGCCTCTGATCTGGCTTTGATGCAGATTCACTTTTTGGCTAAGACACCTCCCCCAATTACCCCCACCAATTCCTCCCCAACTTAGACCAGGGCAATGACCCCCTAGGCCCCTCCCCTCTCCCCATCAACCCCTCCACCCGAAAGAGCAAAGTAGCTGTCTCACAGCTGCCTCTGCCTGGGCGCAGTGCCTACATTGCTCCTAGCATACTGTGGGGGTCTGTAAGGGCCGGGGAGGCAGACCTGGTGCCCTCTGCCTCCTCCTCGTGCCAAGGAGTCACTATTTATAATTTTAAGGCCTCAGTACCTAATTATAGCTGAGAAGGGGTGAGCAAGAGTGGGGCCAAGAGGTGTCACCTACCAAATGTCCCAGACACAGGAGAGAGGAGAAAGGCAGAGTGAGAGTGAGGAGGGCGGGAGGGGAGCGGGTGTGTCCTGTCCTTACCTGGGGTCATCACTAGCTGTCCTCATACCAGCCAGTTTGGGCCAGTTGGAACGGGAAGAGCCCTGAGTGATGGTGACAGCTGGCTGGGACTGAGGCAGTGCCACAGAGAGGGCTCCTTCCCCCACCCTACAGGGTCTTCTGGGGATAGACCAGGGAAAGAGCCCAGCTCAAGTCATGGGTGAGAAGAACTTGGCTCCACTCTAACTTTCCTCTTTTTCTGTCTCCCCTTTCAGGGCCAGCATATGGGTGAGGGGGCACCCCTTAGGGCCTGAGCTGCCCTGCACAGGATGCCCCGTGCCCTCTACTTCATGCCCTTGCAGCTACTGCTGCTGCTTCTTTCACTGCCCCATACCCAGGCTGCCTTTCCCCAGGACCCCCTCCCTCTGCTGATTTCTGACCTGCAAGGTAAGTGTCCTGGTCCCCTGCCCCTCTGTGTGAGTTCATTCTGTCAGTAATTAGAGACTGAGAGCTCTTGTGTGAAAGGGGAGGTGCAGGAAGGCTCCCAGCCTCAAAGGAGCTAAGAGCCTCACGAGCAAAAGGCAACATGCAGGTGGTAGCTGGAACTTCAGACCAGTTGCCTATCATTCCTGAGCCTGATTTTTTCACTTAGGGGCAGTGTTATCAGTAACAAAGCTGCTGCTGCTGGTGGTGGTTATGTGCCATGGAGTCAGTTCCGACTCATAGCGACCCTGTACAGGGTTTCCAAGGCTGTAAATCTTCACAGGAGCAGAAAGCCTCCTCTTTCTCCTGCGGAACAGCTGGTAGTTTCAAACTGCTGACCTTGAGGTTAGCAACCCAATTCGTAACCACTACGCTACCAAAGCTCCTTACAAAGCTGGGCAAGTTTCAATCTCTGCTAAGCATCTCATTAGCTGTGTGACCTTGGTCAAATTATTTAACCTCTCTTGCCTCAGTCTCCTCATCTGCAAAATGAGAATAATAATAGTATTCTAAGGAGCTCTGGTAGCGTAGTGGTTACGAATTGGGCTGCGAACCTTAAGGTCAGCGGTTTGAAACTACCAGCCGCTCCATGGGAGAAAGATGAGGCTTTCTACTCCCATAAAGATTTATACCCTTGGAAACCCTGTACAGGGTCGCTATGGGTCGGAACCAACTCAACGGCACTTAACAACAACAACATATCCTAGTTATTTAGGGATCAAATGAGATAATGCATGTAAAGTGTTGAAAACATGGTTTGACACATGAAATGCTTTATATATATATACATATATACATATATATATATATATAAAAGAGGGCTTCAAAATGCTCTATCTATCTATCTATCTATCTATATATTTATATATATGGGCTTCAAAAAGCTCGTGGAAAAAGGTAATTGAAAGATAGTGGAAGTGGAATTTTTCCATGAATTTTTTTTGAAGTCCCTGTCGTATTTGCGATTATTATTAGCTATAGATGAAAATTTGGAACTAATTCAGGGGTTCCAAGCACCTTTTATCTCCCTCTCTACTTGTACTACCAGTAAGCCATAGTTCCACCATGATCAAATTAAAAACCCACTTTTCCTGACTAGAATCTTTACCTATGTATAGACTCTATCTATATATAGAAACATCTATATATAGAATCAAGGCACTCTAGTAGCATACTGGTTATGAGTCGGGCTGCTAGTCTCAAGGTCAGCAGTTCAAAACTATCAGTTGTTCCATGGGATAAAGATGAGATTTCTGTCCCCTTAAAGATTTACAGCCTTGAAAACCGTATGCAGGTTGCTATGAGGTGGACCGGACTCTACGGCACATAACCACCACTACCACCATATACAGAATCTTTATCTATATATTTAACCCTGTCTTATATGTAGGATTTAGAACCATTTTAAGGATGGAAGAAGTATAGTTGGTGTATTGGGAGTAATTGTTAGGGGATAGGTAAGACTATTGAACATTTATATGTGCAGGTACAGTTCTAAGTACTTTATGAATACTATATCGTCTGTTCCTGAACTCTGGGCTCTCTTTGCGCTCTGATGACAGTAATTTCCTTAGTCAGGCCAGGTAGATGCTAGAGTTGGTTAGAGGAGGTAGAAGTCTTAGAGAGCTGGATGACCTGTGAAGGGCCTTGAGGAAAGGGTGCAGAGAGAGGGCTGGGAGAAATGGGGTGAGTAGATGTTGCCAGATGGAACATTGTACAACATGGGAGAGAAAGAGAATTGCTGCCCCAAGGAGAAACTGGGTTTAGGTCTGAAATCGGAGAGAACTAGATCTGAATCCTGGTGCCTGCCACTTTCAAAGAGCCCTGGTGGCTCAGTGGTTAAGCATTGAGTGCTAACCAAAAAGTTGGTGTTTTGAACCCACCAGCTGCTCTGAGGGAGAAAGCTATAGTAGTATGTTTCCATAAAGATTACATACAGCCTTGGAAAAAACTCTATTCTGTCTTATGGGATCACTGTGAGTTGAAATCAACTCAATAGCACCTGGTTTTGAGTTTTGCCACTCTCAAGCTAAATGAATTTATGCAAGTTCCCTAATAACTTCGAGTTTCAGGCTCCTCATCTGTAAAATGAAGCCAATGTTAGTGTCTACCACACTAAATGAAATAATGTACCTAAGGGAGGAATATTGGACACACAGTGATGAAAGAGCTCAGCTGCTAACTGAAAGGTCAGCAGTTCAAACCCCCTGGGAGAAAGATGTGGCAATCAGGTTCCATAAAGAAAGCCTTGGAAACCCTATGAGAGTTATTTTTACATAGCTTTTGGCACCTCACACATTGCCTTATACATCCACTATATCCATAGCTGGGTGCTGGAAGGTATAGATAGAATGTGTGGTATCCTGGATGGCCCTCAGCACCCATCTCTCTAATTCCTCTAGGTACCTCTCCACTATCGTGGTTCCGGGGGCTGGAGGATGATGCTGTGGCTGCACAACTTGGGCTGGATTTTCAGAGATTTCTGACCTTGAACCGGACCTTGCTGGTGGCTGCCCGGTAAACTGGCCGAGGCACAATTGTAGGGAAGACATGCATGCTCCTGGGCAGACATGGGACCTACATGGCCACTGCAGCATCTTGCAGGGGACACATGCAGGTGCACAAGCCATGGGACATGGGACATGCTTGGACCCAGAGCACAGATGCCAAAGCATAGAGTAAGGGGGAGGGTAATGGGTAAGAGGTCTACAGTGTTGTCGATGAGTAGCTGAGCACGAAGAAGGTAGGGACTCAGGAGCTTGGGTGATGCCCTGGCTTGGCTCTGATCCCTCCTTATCCACTCCTTTAGGGACCACGTTTTCTCCTTCGATCTTCAAGCCCAAGAAGAAGGGAAGGGGCTGGTGCCCAACAAGGTGAGGGGCTGGGACAACAAAGGTATGGAAATGAGGGAAAGGTTTAATGGGGGTTAAGTGGGTAGGAAGAAGCATCTAAAAGGAGTCATAAAGCAAGGTAAGGTCCAGGTTGCTTTATGATTTCCCTCTTTTTTTTTTCTCATCAGTATCTGACATGGAGAAGTCAGGACATGGAGAACTGTGCAGTTCGGGGGAAGCTGACGGTGAGTGATGCCATGAGAATTTTGAGGGAAGAAAAAAAGACTATCATGCCTCCAGACTCTATTCTTGCAGTCCTCCACCATGCCCTATTTCCCACCCACCTCTCCCATCCTAGACCTCAGAGGAAAATGGGAATTCATGATTTTTAGCTTCCTTTATATATACTTCATAAAAGAATCCCTGGGAAAATAGCTATTATTACTTTCAGATAAGGAAAGTGGGACTCAGAATAGCCAAAGGACTTGCCTAAGGCCACAGAGCTAGTGACAGATTTGTTGGAACTTGCTCTGACTGGCTCAATGATGGCAGCCTTACTTCCTGTGGCCTCTAGTCCCAGCGCAGGACCCCTGAGGCTGACCTGAGATTTTGGGTTCTCTAGGACGAGTGCTACAACTACATCCGTGTTCTCATTCCCTGGGACTCCCAGACGCTCCTTGCCTGTGGAACAAACTCATTCAGTCCTGTGTGCCGCAGCTATGGGGTACAAAGGGGGATGGGAAGATCATCATGGAAATGGGGGTTGGGGAAGAACCCAGAATGGCCAATTAGTTTGGTGGGGAGGGACCAGGAACTGGGGTGGGTGGGAGGAAGTTCCTAGAGGGGTGGGAGAAGGGAGGTAAATGGACTTAAGGAAGTCGGCTATGGAGCGAGGCTCTAAGATGCCAAGGGTTCTAGGAACATATTCCCTTTGCCCTCAGATAACTTCGCTGCAGCAGGAGGGTGAGGAGCTGAGTGGGCAGGCTCGATGCCCCTTTGATGCCACCCAATCCAATGTGGCTGTGTTTGCAGGTGTGGATCTTGGCATATGAGAGACAGGCTTGTGGCTGGAGGGAGCGTCCACCTTAGTCGCAAGTCCCTGATTGGAGGGTTGTGGTATAGGGGCCATGGCCAGGTCTAGGTAGAGGGTGGGAGGTCCAGGAAGAGCCAGGATACATATATCTGAGCCTTTTCCTAATTCCACCCTACCCATCCCTCCAGAGGGCAGTTTATACTCAGCCACAGCTGCAGATTTCCAGGCCAGTGACGCAGTAGTTTACAGAAGCCTTGGGCCTCAACCCCCACTTCGCTCCGCCAAGTACGACTCCAAGTGGCTCCGAGGTCAGGGCGGGCCTTGAGGAGGGAGGTTCCTCCTGGGGAGGTGCAGGGTGAGGACTATGGCAGGGAGCAGGCAGATGGTGGTGGTGTATATGTATGTAAAGAGGAAAGGCTGTGTGGGGCCAGGAGTTTCTGAACAGGTATAGATACACTTCCATACCCTTGCTTGTCACACCCTTCCTCAGAGCCATATTTCGTCCATGCTTTGGAACATGGAGACCATGTCTACTTCTTCTTCCGAGAGGTCTCTGTGGAGGATGCCCGGCTAGGGAGGGTAAGGAGACAGTCACCAGGGGTGGATAGGTGGAAGGTTTGGTTGGATTCTGAGGAGCCAACTGACTCAGGGGAGAACTCCTGACCCTAATCTCCACCTACAATCCCCTGGATGCTGAACCTCCAATTTAAAATAGCCCCAGCCCTCTGCTTCTCCATCCTGCTGTTCCTCATCCTTGACCCAGATTGACCCTCTACCTTGAACCTTCCTTTGCGGTAACTCCCAGCATTTCTCTCTTGGTACTCTTAACTTGACCATATTCCTTTCACCCAGCTGGTCCTGTGCCTCTTTCTCTCACTGTTGCCTTCTTCCCCCCAACCCTCCTCCTCTAGGTGCAGTTCTCCCGTGTAGCCCGTGTGTGTAAGCGTGATATGGGTGGTTCACCTCGGGCTTTGGACCGCCATTGGACATCCTTCCTGAAGCTGCGACTCAATTGCTCTGTCCCTGGGGACTCTACCTTCTATTTTGATGTCCTCCAGGCCTTGACTGGGCCTGTGAACCTGCATGGCCACCCTGCTCTCTTTGGGGTCTTCACTACCCAGACCAATAGGTTGGTACTATGCTGATTAGTATAGTATGGCCCAATCTGTCATCTGCCCCATCAGTGTCCAAGCTCCCCTCTCAAAGACTACTGATGGGGGCAGTAAAGCGAAAGCCTAGTCAAAGCCAGTTTGCTTTCTTGCCCATTTTTTTTCTCCTAGCCTAGCTCCCAGTGGCTGCCCCATCTTCAGTTTCCACCTTCTACCATGGTACATGCAGAGTAGCTCCCACTTACCTGGGTGGGAGGAGCTGTGCGGTCTTTTCTAACACCTAGCCTGCATCCTTTTCTGGCTCCCCAGCATCCCTGGCTCTGCGGTCTGTGCCTTCTACCTGGATGACATTGAGCGTGGGTTTGATGGCAAGTTCAAGGAGCAGAGAAGTCTGGATGGGGCCTGGACCCCTGTGTCTGAGGATAGGGTACCCTCACCCAGGTACCTAAGAGGAGATGGGTTTTGTGGGGGGCAGAAACAAATAGTCTGTTCCCAAAATGGGACTGTGAGATAAGAGTATGGTAGCCAAGGTCTGGGGAGGCAGGTTATAGTGGATTAACATCAGGGGAGACCCCATTGCCTAGGATCAGGCCCAAACCCAGGTCTAGAGAAGAGGTGGACAATGGACTGGAGGGCTATAATAGGGAATGGAAGCAGTGCTGAGAGAGCTGTGTGTAGGGGGTTACAGTTATGTTCAGGAGTGGGGGGAAGGGACAGCCACAGAGCCTAAGCATGGGCTCTCTGCCCTAAGGCTTCCCCTTCCCATGTACCCCACAGGCCAGGGTCCTGTGCAGGAATAGGTGGAGCTGCCTCATTCTCTTCTTCTCGAGACCTCCCTGATGATGTCCTGACCTTCATCAAGGCTCACCCACTGCTTGACCCTGCTGTGTCACCTGCCACACATCAGCCACTACTCACCCTTACCAACAGGTATGGGTGGCCCTCTACCCCCTGGCTCGTTTCCTCCTTCTCTGACTCCATAAAGTAAATGGCATTGGTGGAAGGAAGAACCTGTGAAAAGAAAAGGGGAAGAACTAAGAAGAAAATACTAAAGTGTGGGTAAAGGGCCCAGAAATGGGTACAAGAACACTCAAGCTTCCACATAATACTGTTTTCCCTGACCTGAGGCCTTTTCCTGCAGGGCCCTACTGACCCAGGTAGCTGTGGATGACATGGCAGGCCCCCACAGTAACACCACAGTCCTATTCCTTGGCTCCAATGATGGGACAGTGCTGAAAGTGCTGCCCCCAGGGGGGCCATCTGGGGGAACCGAGCCCATCCTATTGGAAGAGATTGATGCTTACAGTCCCTCTCGGTGAGGTTTTTGGAGGACAGAGCCTCCACAGAGCAGGAGATGGTTGATGGAGTGGTGGGTGTAGGTTGGGAACTCCAACATTGACTTCTTTGGGACAGGAAGTGTGGAACAGAGAAAGGGGCTTGGTAAGAAGACTGAACATTGTGGTGGGGCAGGGTGGTCACTCTGGAACTCCAGTCCCATGGGTTGTGCTCAGCTACTGTGTACCACCCCATTTCTGTTCTTCAACTTACCCAGGGAAAGGGAACCTTCACCTGCCCCATCCAATTCTTTATGGCCTCACCCCAGGTGCAGTGGGAAGCAGTCAGCCCAAACAGCACGGCGGGTCCTGGGGCTCGAGCTAGACACTGATGGTCACAGGCTCTTTGTGGCTTTTTCTGGCTGCATTATCTACCTCCCTCTCAGCCGCTGCACCAGGCATGGGGCCTGTCGAAGGTGAGAGGGACCTGAGACCAAGCCCTTTCTGGGCAATCTCTAGGAACACGGGCCTTGGGGGAGGCACGGGAGATAAGCGATGGATAGAGAAAGCCGTTTATGTCTCAGGTATTTTGAATGTGAGCAGTAACCAGGGAACAGAATAGGGATTGGGGTGGATGTAATGAGAATATGAGGCTAGAGGCCTCCTGTAGGTCAGGGTGACAATGGAAGAGACAAGGGATGGAATGTGATTAGAGTGGTGAGGGTCCCAATCTCACATAACTCAGTTTTCCCTAGGAGCTGTCTGGCTTCCCAGGACCCATACTGTGGATGGCATAGCTCCCTAGGCTGTGTGGCTATCAGGGGACCTGGAGTTAGGTAAGTGAGGGACTCTTGGACCTCTTGGGGAGAAAGGTCTCCATCACTAAAAGGTGAGGGTCAAGGTCCAGGATGCAGAGAAGATAGAGAACTGCACTGAACCACCTCCTTTTGCCCTAGGACTGATATAGATCCGGTTGGGGACCAGGAAACCATGGAGGATGGCGACTGCCAAGGTAAACAGAAAGGGTGGCTACAGGCATAGCCAACTGCACATAGCTCTGAAGGCCACTAGCTTAGTTCTCTAGGTTTGCCATAACAGAAATACCACCAAATGTATGTTCTCACAGTCAAGCAATTCAGGTGCTGGTTCTAGAGGAAGGCTTTCTTTCTCCCTCTACTCTAGAGGAAGGTCCTTGTCACTTTAAACTTCTGCTCCTGGATGATCACCATGTGGCTTCGCATCTCCTTTCTCCCATCTCTGCTTCCTAGCTTGTGTTTAAACTCTTTTGTGTTTCAAGAGATTGACTCAAGATACACCCTACACTAACCCTGTTTCACTAAGGTAACAAAGACAACCCTTTTTCAAATGGGATTATAACCACAGGTGGTGTTGCCCCTAAATGCCAGAGCCATTCTGATTCATAACAATGCTGTTGTTAAGTTGGTTCTGACTCATAGCAACCCCTTATATGGTTTCCAAAGATTGGTTGGTGAGCTTAAACTGCGGGCCTTGCAGTTCAAACAGACCTTGCAGTCCAGCACATTAACCCACAACATCAAATCAGGACTCCAATTCATAGCATTAGAAGTTAGGATTTACAATGTCTTGGTGAGACACAGTTCAATCCACAATAGTTAGACATCATTCTAGGCATGAATTCTTGTCTTGGTCTCCTATGTCACAGTCACCCCAAGTTTCATCATTTCTTCATGAAGCTTCTTCTAATTCCTATCTTCACTCTCTCTCTCTTTTTCGTAGATGGAGCTACTGGGAGTCATTCTGGCCCAGGGGATTCTGCCTATGGTAAGTCTTCTTATCCCAGTGTCCCCTTCCCTTGCTTAATTTCCACTCACCCAAATCTGTGCCCTATGGTCGCAGCAGACCAGCACACTGGAAACCCTGAGAGACTCTCAGAAAAGCATCAGCTTCCTCTAAATGTGCCTGGCACATTTAGCTTAATAAATAGCTTTTGAACAAATAAGTGAATGAATCTCCTGCATGATAATAAACCCTTCCCACACCCACAGGAGGCTGGAGTTCTAGACCCCTGAGTTCAAAGGAGGGAAAGGGGTTGGAATCCTGAATGGGTATCAGGGTTCAAAGCATGAGCCTCACTGGCTCTGACCTGGTCTTTGTCACCAGTGCTTCTGGGTCCTGGCCCTTCCCCTGAGATCCCCAGCCCCCTCAATGATGCCCACCCCTGGCCCCAGTCTTCCACTCTTGGAGCTCACACTCAGGGTAAGGGGGCTGGCTGGGAGGGGTAGGAGTGAAGTGTGCTGCTGCTGATTCTTGGGAGATTTCGAAGCCCCTCACTGACTGGTGTTTGGTGCTCACTAACGCCTGTTTAGAGCCACCCCTCCCCAGACAGATCTGGGCATCTCAGCCCACCTTCTGTTCCGGCAGTTCAGCAGTTACTCTTGGCATGGCTATGGGGGCCAGAACTGGGATGGGGGACCCCCGCCCCCAGGCCTAAGCTCTAGTAGCCTGTTTGAGGCAGAATGTGATGGGCTGTGTGTGTTGGGTGGGAGGAGGGGATAATGATTCCAAGGGAAGGTCAAGGCTGTGGTGAGACGTGGAGCCACAGAAGGAACGTGTGCGACGCCCCCTAGGCCCAGCACCACTCAGCACACCGCGTACCCTCTGCTGAGCCTCCCTCCTCCCTCTCGGTCGGCAGGCGTACGCCGGGACCTCCCCCCAGCCTCAGCCTCCCGTTCCGTCCCCATCCCACTCCTTCTGGCCAGTGTGGCCGCCGCCTTCGCCCTGGGTGCTTCTGTCTCGGCCCTCCTGGTCTCCTGCGCCTGTCGCCGCGCCCACCGACATCGGAGCAAGGACATCGAGACCCCGGGGCTTCCGCGCCCTCTCTCCCTCCGCAGTTTGGCCAGGCTCCACGGTGGGGGCCCAGACCCTCCACCCCTGTCCAAGGACGGAGACATGGCGCAGGCGCCGCAGCTCTACACCACCTTCCTGCCTCCCTCTGAGGGCGTACCCCCGCCGGAGCTGGCTTGCTTGCCCACCCCGGAATCCACACCTGAGCTGCCAGTCAAGCACCTCCGTGCCGCTGGGGGGCCCTGGGAGTGGAACCAGAATGGGAACAACGCCAAGGAGGGCCCGGGCCGCTCACGGGCCGGGAATCCAGTAGGCGGCCCGGCGCCGCGCGTGCTGGTGAGGCCGCCGCCGCCCGGTTGCCCCGGGCAGGCCGTGGAAGTCACCACCCTGGAGGAATTGTTGCGCTACCTACACGGCCCGCAGGCGTCCAGGAAGGGGACTGAGCCCTCCAGCCCTGCCCCGCCTTTTACATCACGGCCGCTCCCGCCAGAACCCTCCCCCGTCCCTGCCCCCACCCCTGCCCTCTTTGCGGGTTCCAGCCCCCTCCCCCGGGAATGCACCCCGCCTCTGAGACTGGACGTGCCCCCCGAAGGGAAGTGTGCAGCACCCACCGCTCGACCTGCGCTTTCAGCCCCCGCCCCCAGGCTCGGGGTCGGGGGCACCCGAAGGTTGCCCTTTACCCCTCACCGTGCACCGCCTGCCCTACTCACTCGAGTCCCCTCGGGAGGCCCTTCCAGATACTCTGGGGGTCTCGGAAGGCACCTCCTCTACCTGGGCCGGCCCGAGGGGCACCGGGGCCGCGCCCTGAAGAGGGTGGACGTCGAGAAACCCCATTTGCCCCCAAAGACTCCCCTCGTCAGCCCCTCCCAGCCGGCCATAACTAACGGCAGCCATTTTAACTTTTGAAGGGAGCTGCCCCATGGCTTCAAATGGGGCCCTGGATCGAGGCCTAGGCCCACCAAGTTCATGGCCATCTCTCCAAGGACAGACCACCTCCCTCCCTTCTTGTTCCGCACCTCCAGCCATCCTGGACTCTATAGAGTCTCCCGGGGTCGCCCTCTCCGGCTCGGGTTATTTATTGACTGACTTTCCCCCCTGTCTTCGAGAGAGGAGTGGAAAGTGAGAAGCCTGTCCCCTCAGTGAGCCAGCTTTTCGAGGGGATTTGGCAGACTCCCACTCCCTACTCCCTTCCAGCCAAGCTGCCTTAACTCGCTCCTCTGGGCTTCCTCCATGGACAGGCCCCGGGCGGGCCACATGGCGGACTGATGGGCGGGGGCCACGCGCATCGTGTACAGAGTTCTCGGGCCTCCTGGGACGTTCCTCCTCCTACTGTGTAGGAGCCTCTGCTTCCCAATACAGCTGTGTCCCTGAGCTGCTGCCTGACTGACTTCACTCGCGAAGTGGGGACGGGGCGGGAGGGAGTCATCGGTCAGTGCTCGCTCTGGGCGGGCGTCCTTTGCCCCTGAATCTTTGCCTTCTTCTTGGCCCTGAGCACTCTCCCAAGTAATTGGGATGGCTCAAGTCCCACCGGGGTTAATCAGGAAAGGTTTCCTGAAGGAGACAAGCGAAGATATGGTGTGTGGAGATGAGCCAGGGCCCAAGAGATCCATGGTGGAGTTTAGGGGAGGACACTCACAGCACGTATCTGAAATGAGGAAGAAGGGATCTCGCGTGTGTGCGTGTGAGGAGAAATAAGATGGAGCTGCAGTGTTAAAAGGACTAAAATCGCATGAGGAGTAGGGCAGCGGGTAAACTGCAGTCACAGCAAAAAAGATTCAACCCTGTTGGAGGCAAGGGTTTGCCCCAGAAATTCCCTAGGGAGCGTTTTCCTTGCTGCTAGAGGGAGGGGTGTCAAGAGCGCGTATCTGTACGCATGCGTAGCTCCCTCTCTCGGGGCCTTGGGGCTGGACTGGATGCCCCCCCCCCCCCGCGCGCTCTAGGGATCAACTAAAGTGTGGCTGTCCTGATGGTCTCTTACTCTGGCTGGGGATACTTGTTCCGTTACCTTGGGGGCCAATAGAGGGAAGAATAGGACCTCTAGCCACGCCCACCACCCTTTACCTACCTAGCGGACACCTAAGACCCTGGGCGGTGTGGAGACTGCTTTTGCGGATTTACAAGTCAAATTTTTTTTTGCGGGTGTGTGTCTATGGCTGAAGTATCTGCCCAGTTCGAGCCCATGCTGTTCTCTGCGCTGCCTGGAGTATAGACTAAATCCTGCAGTTACGGTAGTTTTGCCAATCCCGCTGCCCCTTTGGCTAATTGAGATTATCTGTGTTGTTAAGTGCCGTCGAGTCGATTCCGACCCATAGCGACCCTGTATAGGGTGTCCGAGAAGCGGCTGGTGAGCTTGAACCGCCGACCTTGCCATTCAAACGACTTTGCAGGCCAGCGCATTAGCCCACAGAGCCACACCAGGACTAGGAGATCAGATTATCTATAGCTCTACTTTTTACCATTTGTGATCGCTGTAAATCAAAACCTGCCCTAACCCTCCGTTTTCTCATCTGAAAAATGGAACTGTTGAAAGGCTCAAGTACAATAATGTGGGTGAAAACGTTTTCTACAGAAGAAAGCATGATACCTTGTGTGGTGGTGATTCAATGCCTAAACTATTCCTAACTTTGCGTAAGAGATCTGCTTTTACTAAGCAAGGCTTTTTCATTTGCATCCTTATAACTTTAATTTATGAATCTTATCCTCAAGGATTTTCAGTGCCCTCTGAACATTCCTCACACCTCAGTTAGATTGTTTGGCTCATATTTCCACCACTTGGAGTGTTTTTTAAGCTTTTCCTTTATTGAATGTCTTATTGAAACCAAAATGTTTTCAGGCTATTGTTGGTTTCCTAGATAGTGGCTGAGAGCAGGGAAGGAGTATTTCCAATCACATTATTCTCTTCAAACCAAGGTATTAAAGCAAGGACAGAGCAACTTTTCAATAGTGCAGCTTTTCATAGTCCTCTCAGAGACTATTCTTACAAATACAGTTCTTGCCCTGAAGGTGGTCAAGAAAAAGAGGGGTAAATGATCTTCAGGTTTAAATATGGACTCAAAAGAGCAGTAGTACAATCTGCAGTAGAAATTTAACCTTGTGACCTATTGCAGGCAGCAACAATTTACAGGTTAAAGTCCTGGTTGTCGTTTAAGTGTGAAGGATGTTCATTTATTTATAAATCACATATTGCAGTGAGAGCAACAGACCTTGAACTCTGCCACAGCTGTTACTGGTTTGCATGTATGACCTTGGGCAATTCAGTTAACCTCTCTGAGGCGATTTCTTTTGTAAAGAATGGAAAATACATATATAAATAGAGATTTGTAAAACACACAGATACATAGTTTTAAATGAAGTGATTTTCGGAAAAATGCTATTTGTCTAAACCCACCAGCTGCTCCTCGGAAACCCTATAAAGGGTCACTATGAGTAGGAACCAATGCTTCAGTCAATGACTCTTAACAATACTGCCAAGTATGAAACTCATAAATACTCATAAAATACCTCTTCCTGACAGAGAGTAGTGAATAATAAATGAAGGGGATAAGTTCAAAGGAATTATTAACACTGAAAATAAAGGGATAAACATGACCCCAGTTAAGGAATCCACAGATGTTGTTAAATGCTGCTGAATTGGTTGCAACTCATACAATAATACATAATACCTTACATAAAATAAACAAAACATTGCCCAGTTCTCAGCTCTCCTCATAATTGCTGCTGTTTGAGCCCATTGCTGCAGCCACTGGGTCAGTCCATCTTGTTAAGTAAGAATCTTCCTCTTTCTTCTTCCAGGCATGATGTCCTTCCTTCTTCAGAGTCTGGTCCCCCAGATAACCAAAGTCTCACCATCTTCCCTTCTAAGGAGCATTCTGTCTATACTTCTTCCAAGACAGATTTGTTGGTACTTCCAGCAGTCAGTGGTATATTCAATATCTTTTCCCCCTCTCATACTTCAAAAGCATCAATTCTTCAGTCTTCTTTATTCATTGTCTAGCTTTCCCATGCATATGAAACAGTTGAAAATACTATGGCACACCTTACTCTTTAAAGTGACATCTTTGCTTTTTAACAGTGTACAGAAGTCTTTTGCAAGAAGTTTACCCAATGTTATATATCTTTTTCTTTCTTGACACCTCATTCCATGGGCATTGATTGTGGATCCAAGTAAAATTAAATCCATGACAACTTCAATCTTTACTCTGTTTATCATGATGTTGCTTATTGATTCAGTTGTGAGGATTTTTGCTTTCTTTTTGTTGAGGTGTATGTAATCCGTACAGAAGGTGGTAAACTTTTATCTTTATCAGTCCTCTTCACTTTCAGCAAGCAAGGTTGTGTTATCTGGGTATCACAGGTTGTTAATAAGTCTTTCTCCAATTCTGATGCTTCATTCTTCATATAGTCCAGCTTCTCAGATTATTTGCTCAGAAGGGTGAAAGGATACAATCCTGATGCACACTTTTCCTGGTTTTAAACCACATAGTATCCCCTTGTTCTGTTTGAATGACTGCCTCTTGGTCTATGTACAGGTTCTGCATGAACACAATCAAGTGTTTTAGAATTCTCATTCTTCTCAATGTTATCTATATGTATTATAATCCACACAGTCAAATGCAAATAGTCTTTTTTAAAAATCATACTAGCTCAAACATTGTCAAACTTTGTCTAGCTTAGGAAAAATGTGCCAATAGAAGGCAAGAACTATTATCCTCAGGGATTACTAAGCTGATTTCTTAGAGGCATCCTGGGAGGGTATGGAGAAACCAGGGCCCCAGCAGGCACAGTCTATCAGCTTGTCTAAGGCTTTAGGGACTTGAAACAGAAGGTTCCACAGTCACAAAGCTTGAAAAGCTGTTCAGCATCTTGGGCTCTTTGGGGGCTAAGTCACAGGGGCCTGAACTATTATTGTCTTTTATTGATGCCACCGCCCCACTACTCTGGGGAACAGGTATGAGTCACTCTCTGCTACTTAATCCAGCAGTTGACCCTTCAGAACTGTTGAATCATAAGAAATTAAAGTTACTTGTATAAGAATAAGGTTCAACAAGTACAGGATAAAATATGAAACGTATGGATCCAAAAGATCACCCACAGTACTGGACAGAATTCAAATAGGAAATAGATGATATGCTCAAAATCATGAAGCACTATTTAAAAAAAAAACAGTGGTTATCATATGAAGCCAATTTTTAAAAAAGTGACTCCATATGATAACCAACTGGCCTGCAAACCACATGGTCCATGGTTGGAGCCTGCCAGACGCTCCACGGGAGAAAGATGAGGCTTTCTGCCCCCAGAGAGGAAACCCAATACATTAGTCTCTATGAGTCAGAATCTACTCAATGGCACTTAACAGCAACAACAACAGGGGATAGACAATTTGGTGACTACAGGCTAGTAACAGCCTTAGGCCAGAAAGGACAAAGGGAGGTAGTAGTTATTGGGACCAAATTGGAGAACTGCTTTGAAAAGAGCATTGACCTTCAATCAAGGAACACAGTTAGGTCAGGTGACATCAAGGAAGCGTGTCTGGAAAATCAATATAGAGGCTACATTGTTCTTCCTGCCTCCAATCTCCTGCCTGGACTCCCTATTGGCTGACTCCAACTGGAAGCTAAAGCACAGGGAAACCCATGGACATAGTTATGTAGGTTAGCATCTCAGGATGCAGTAGAGAGGAGAGTAATCTAGTAGGAAAGACAGAATATATTAGGCACACCTAGAGATGAAGGTTATCTTTGAATCTCCTTGCTCATGTATTTCTTGCCAGCCAGCAACTCTTTGAAGATGCCCCCTAAATTAGTCTTGGCGTGAAATATACTTTTGAGAACTTGCAAGAAAATTTGCTTGGAGAACTTTCTTCTCTCCATTTCTTAACTGCAATCTGAGATGAATTAACATGCCCC